TGTGGTAGATTGGAGTATATGCTGCTGAGTGCAGATAAGCCAATGCTTCAGCAGTTCCTAAAGCAATTTTTAATCTTGTTTTCCAGTCCAGAGAATGGGAGTATTTGCCATGCAGATGGTCATGGAGGGTTCCATTGGAAATGTACTCATAAATAATCAGTGGTTGTTCAGCTTCAACACAACACCCTAAAAGTTTTACTAAGTTCTTGTGATTGACTTGAGAAAGTATGCGTAGTTCATTGAGGACTTGCTCTGTGCTTTTTACGTTGCCCACCTTTGCTGATTTTATCGCAACAACAGTTCCATCTTGAAGCTCACCTTTATAAACTTCTCCAAATCCACCACTCCCCAAAATCCTGTTTTTAGAGAAACCATTTGTAGCTTTTATTACCTCTTCGAAACTGAACATCCTTGCAGATTTTCCATCATTCTCAAGCTTCAACATGTCTTCTCTTGCTTTAGCAAGCTTCGTCTGGCCAGAAAATCTGACTGACTTTCTCAAAGTAAACGTAGTTAGTGCCACAACAAAAGTTAAAAATGCAGAAATCCCAAGAGAAACTTTCAGAGCGAGACTAGAGTTTGAGGTCTTCTTGTTCTTCGTCAAGCAAGTTGCTGAGCCATGATTCCAATAATATCCTTTATTGCAAACACAACGAAGATTGCCAGATTTACCAGCTGTTGAACATGTCGAAGGCCCAGTGCAGTCAACTTGGGATTTGCAGAGGGGTTCAGCTGGGGGAGCCCATTGTAGTTCCAGTCCCTCCTCCCACTCACTTGCAGGTTTTTCAGCATCCAAGTGAAGGATGCTTCTAAATGCTTGGCAGCCCGAACTATGCAGCCTTATCTTGTATGCTGATGGCATGCCACCAGCAATAAAGGTGCAGCATGGTTTAGGACCACTTGCACACTTTGGTGCACGTTCTTCATCAACATGTCCAGAGCTCTCCAGGTACCTGTGGCAAAGACTAGATGGAGTGCAATTGAGAGGAGAGACCATGAGACGAGGTGAACAATTGAATAGGAATATAATATTAGAAGAAGTTAGGTTAAAAGGGAGTGTCTGGTTCAACCAGAATCCCTCACTCCTTGGCATGTCTTGAGTGATGCAAGTGCCAGGCACCCAGGGTGATGGTTGCAAAACCATGCGTTGCAAAGAAGGCATAACTCTGAGGACAAGGTAAGAGCTCCCGTTGAGGGAATCAAAATAGAGTTTCTGAGAGTTTGGGTCACAACGTACATGATAATCTGAATCACCACAGGTAGGATTGGTGCTTAATGGATATGGAATTTGTAGAGAGCCACAGCTTGGGCAGGTTTTCTGGGGTGAAGAATAATGAAAGAAGTGGAGAAATAGCAGAGAGACACACAAACTAGGTAGTTTCCACTGGGTAACGCTCAGGGTCATGTTGTAGGAGAATGGGAAGAGGTCAAAAACACAGCCATACAAAGAAGAAAGCAGGGGTTAGATAAAGGCTAAGCTAAAAGAATAATATGTGAAGTGAAAATGAAAAGTTGGTGGACGAATCCATGATAACAATAATGACAACTATGGTACGGGTGGGACACACACTGTGTGTGTATATTTAAAAAAAGTAAATAATAAAAAAATAAAAAATAAAAAATTAGTTAGAGAGATTTTTGGAAGGAATACAATGTTCATTAATAGATTAATTAATCAGCTAATTGACAAGTGTAATGATAGTTATGTAGTGATAATTATATAACAGTAGAAAATTTTTTAGATAAATAATAGTAAATGTTATAAGGATTTTTTTGAAAGAAAAAATGTTAACACTTTTTTATTAACATCAAACTCCTACATAAGTTTTATTATATAATAAGATATTACCGTCACGAGTTACTGGATTCTTAAACCAAAAAAAAATAAAAAATTGAGAATCATAAAAGGAAAAATTGTGTGTTTAGACAAGAGATTATTTGCTCAAATATATTTGCTTACGTCACCATTACAATTTTTAATACACTTTTTTATTTTTTCAATTATCTTTTTATCTCACATACATCACATCAAAAAAAATGCTACAGTAAAAATATCTCAAATAATTTACAATTCAAACACAATTGTACTTAATAAAGCTTGCCATATATGTTCTATAACTTCAGTTACATTCATATACATTACAAACAACCCAAAAGAGAAAACTTCATCTCAACTCAAAAGCATGAAAAAACCTCAAATTTGCTTTCATAAATGCCTTTAAGGAATCCAGTCCAACGCAAAAAAGTCAAGTCATGTTGACCTTTATATACACGTAAAGTTAAACTACATGTCAAGAAACCAGATGGTCCTGCAAAACAGAACAAATGCCATCACCTGTTTTACACTTTTACTAATTCCAATTCCCCCCCCCCCAAAAAAATTACGTAGAAGGGCTTTTACTACCAAAATATTCTACATCGGCCTCTAAAATCTCTTCCTCTTCGTCATCATCATCGTCCCCGTACAAAGATCTGGCAACAAGCATCAGCTGATCTTCAAGATACCTCTGCAACAGCCTCTCTCCGTTTCCTCCATCTTCCCCCCGGATCTTCCCATCTCCAGCGCAACCCTCCTCAGCAGCCGGGCTGCTCTTCCTCCTCCTCCTCCAACACCCCCAGCGGCTGAGGTGGAAGAACAGCTCCAAAGCACAAAGAAACGGAAACGTGGCACAAATCAAAGGAAGAAGCAACGGGGAGAAAAGGGCTAGAATTAAATACTTAACAAAAGCACTAGCGTTATTACTAGAACCAAATAGCCAAGATGCTAAAAACATCTTGCAAGAAGAAAGTGGTGGGACGTCTTCGTATTCATCTGCGATTCGAATGGGTAGCAGATTCTCTTGATTGCTCTGTTTCTTGTGGTTCTGGCACTTAGGGTGGCCGTTGAGGTTGAAATAGGAACAGAATACCTTGCACAAGCCCCACATGATAGATGATGACTTGTGGAGCTGTGCTTAATTAGTACGGCATCATTGATAGTTAACGTGTCTCTGTTTCTTGTATTCCCTTTTTTGTTTTGGCGAACAGAGATGAAATGTGTTGAATTGAGTGACAGTGACGACTTTTTATTTACAGTGCGGAATGTTGGGATGAGTCAGGTTGAGGTGACAGCCATTCTGGTGTGTGACTGTGTGTTGTTGAGGCATGCGGAAGGCTGGAAGGAAGGGATTAGGATGGGAAGGGTGGTTGGTCGCTTAGACATGTTGCCAAATTTAAAGGTGATTTCATGATATGTACTTCACCAATTATACTTCAATTTTTCAAAAGATTTTAAAATTTGAGTAAGGATAATGACATACTTTTTGAATTATATACTAAATAAGAGTGATGTATAGCATAATAAATGTAGATATATGCATATTTTAGGTAATAAGGTGATAAAATTTTAATAAATGTAATGTCTCATACATAAAAATAAATTTAAAATTGGTACAAATGTAGCATTGTCTTTGAAAATTATAGCAAATTTATCCGTACTTTTAGTTCCATAACTTTCAAATATGTTCATACTATTCATATACGAACTTATATACTTAATTCTATCGAATACTTATTTTTATACCGAACCTTTTATCATACTTTTGAGAAAAAATTCATATAATATACGTATGTATAATATTTTATATTATATTCATCCCATAGTTTACTAACTATGGTGCCAAATTGGGAATTAGAATTTTAAATTTTAAATCAGATTTCATGATATCACATTATACCCTAATTTGGATTTTTTTTTTTATTATCAACAGAGGAGGGGTATTTTCTGTACTAGGTTATAAGGCATCTAGACTTCTGTGGCTCCTCTTAGTATCTTCATCAAATTTAGGAGAGAATTTTATAAGTTAACTAGTTCTAGATAACTGATTGCTAGTCACTACTGTTGAGATTTTGTGTTTAGGATAGAGTATCAGAGATACATACTTCTGTACTTACTAACGATAAACTATTACTCATTTCAAAATTTTACTCAAATTCCAAGGATTTCTGCTTCAAAATGAATTTAAGCAAATATTCCACACACAAAAGCTTTCCAAGGCCTTTTTGTGTACCCCTCTTTCGGAGGCAGTTTTCCAAGGCCATATAATTTATGTCCAAAAGTGAAGATAAAAGACACAAAACATGGACATAAATAGCTCAGGTTAGACACCGGCTAAAATACTTGAATTTTGAGGTTGAGCTCAAAATTCTAAAACTCAACCTCTGTAATTTGGGCATTGGACATTTGAAAATCGGATCCATTTAAGTGTGAGCCGAATTCTAGAGGTTGAGCTGATTGTATTTTGAAACTTAATCTTGAGACAGCTTAGATGAACTCCATCAAGTCTATACCTATATCGGGTTCAACAGAGGTTAATGTAATAATTATAAACAAGAGATACAAAAAACATTTCATAACAATAAATATTAAAAAATAAAAGATATACATTCAAAAACCCAATTATGTTTGACAGTTTTCTAACGACTCCGATGTAAGCGACAACTCAAAGTCAAACTCATTAAATTATTCGAGCTACTTGTAAGAGGTTTGACCAAGCAAACTCTTACCAGGATTAAAGCTCAATTAGTTTCCACTCCACTTAGGTTCTCCACAGGTATGTTTTCTCAAAATAGTACAGATATGACAAATTCAAATATCAACTATTGACCTTATCAAAAAAATTAAGGACTTGTTTGGATTGCTGCTTGTCGCAGAAAAATTGAAATGCTAGTTTTCGCAAAAAAAAAAAAAAAAAGTTACCCCGATGCATTTTTTAATTTTTTTTTTGTTAAGTCAAATCAAATTATTTGGACTGCATCCTTGATAGGCCAAAATTAATATTTCAAGTTGGATTTGAATGCTAAAACTCAATTTATGCAAACGATCCATAATAAGGCAAATTTTATCTCACTTAAAAATAATACTATTAGTCGGGTCACAGGAGATTAGGTCGGACTCCATGGATCCCCTTTATTGACAAATAAATAAATAAATAAATAAATAAAAAATAATACTATTAATAACTACGTCCAATGCTCTCACAGAGGACGAGAGCCGCCGCACTTCAAGCTAAGTGTGCTGAGCTGACCGGCTGAGCCAGAGCCCCACATGACTGAACTCTATCGCCTATGTCAACCGGAACAGGTATTGCCGATGCCGACGCCGGGATTCCGCTGCTCAACGACGTCGTTGATGGCTCAGTCGACTATAAGGGTCCTCCAGTCTACCGATCCCAATCCGGTGGATGGAAACCCGCTTCATTTATCATATGTAAGTTTCAACTCCCAAATCCCAATTCTCTTACTACTAGCAAATTTGATGTTAATTTCATCAATTTAATACAGGCGTTGAGATGTCTGGGAGATTTACGTATTACTGGATAAATTCGGATTTAATAAATTACCTGACCGGACACTTGGGCCAGTCCACTGCCACCGCCGCCGAGAATGTCAACGCCTGGTTTGGAATGGGGTCGCTTTTGCCCCTTTTGGGTGCCTTTCTTGCTGACTCGTTTCCGGGCTGATATCGTACTTTCATTCTTGCTTCATTGCTCTACATTTTGGTTAGTAAATAGCATACCCACCACCCCCTTTCCTTCCTAGATTTGACTATGTTTTACTGTGATTTATGTTGTTGTTATTATCTAATTTTTGAGAGCATAGTTTAATTGGCCTGGGCAGATCACCCTTCGTTCTCGAATTTTTTTGGTTTTATAGACGTTATGTCAAATGTTGTCACATTTTACTGGAATGAACTTTGGTCTGGAACCCAGAAAGTTTTGATAGATAAGATAGCTCCCTTGACTTTCTTTGAGGTATTTTGTCTAATTTGCAATGGCTGTTTGATTTGTTTTTGTGTTTTTATCATTCTTTCTTGTGTATATGATAGTAAATGATTATTATTTTGGACTGATAACAGGGACTTAGTTTCTTGTCCCTTTTGGCTGTGCTCCATTCTGACTGTAACAGTCCTGCTAGTGTCATTAAATGTTTTCCTCCCTTGACTTTCTTTTCCTCTGCGGTTGCCAATCTATCTTATTTTAACTAACTTGAGTTGGTGTACTACATGTTTGCAATTTCACAGAAGCATTTCTTGTTCTACGGGTTCATTGATTTTCGCAATCTTTCAGTTGTTTGGGCTTCACAATAGAGAGGGCAAAGATGACCTCTCCACTCTGTTACAGTTATAGGTTAGAGATTAATATTGTTTTCCTGTAATTCAAATCCATTGTCTTGAAATCTGCTTTTAAGACATCATTGAATCAGGCAAACAGATGGGCCAAACGTGGGCCAATGCAGGGGCATTGTTTGAATTTCCTTCCTTTTTCTTGGTTTTGTTGGTCCGTGATTCGTCATTGAACCCTGTTTTGTCTTTTTGCACTCCTTTTTTTTTTTTTATCATGCGATAGTTTTTTACATTGGTTTTGAAAAAGTCCTGAAAATAACTCGGAGAGAACTGAACCACCACCGGACTAGACGAGTGCATATTTTTTTAAGTAAGGTCACATTTAATTTGGCAAATTGATGATCAGGTTTGAACTCTTGTCACCCATCCACCAAGTCTAATACTGTGGGCACCAGCCTTTGTCTTTTTGCAACTCAATCTTACCATTTTTATCGACTCATGCACCTGTGGAAATCAATTTTGGCATTGCTAATTGTGATAATTGAACAAACATGGCTTTACATATCTGCTTCAAAGTCCTGTTTGAAATGCCCCTCACCTGCTTAATCAAATCATCTGTACACATTTGTCTTTAGAACTTTCCAATGACTGTATAAACAAAGATTATCTTTTGGCTGTGAAGACGTAAAAGAGGGCTTGCAGGAGCTTTTTCTTTACCCTCGTCTTTGTTGACTACGTTAGGACGCCATTGCTGACTGAGCTATTAAAAGGCTGGCAGGATTAGAAATATTGCAAGAAAAGCAATCATTTATTATAATATTAGAAACAGCTTGACCGTTAAATGCATTATTATTAGTCTATCACTGCTCCTATAAAGAAGAAAAACTAAGCCTGGCACCCCATTCCCCTAGAAGATCAAATGGATAAAGAAGTGAAGCTTCATGGCTTTTGGTCAAGCCCCTTTGTTTATTGGGTGGTATGGGCGCTGAAATTGAAGGGCATCGAGTATGATTACATAGAAGAAGACCTGCCTAACAAGAGTGAATTGCTGTTACGTTACAATCCAGTTTACAAGAAAGTTCCCGTGCTGGTTCATGCTGGAAAACCCATTTCTGAGTCCCCTGTAATCCTTGAATATATTGAGGAGGTGTGGCCGCATAACCCACTGCTGCCAAAAGATCCCTATGAGAGATCTGTAGCTCGGTTTTGGATAAATTTTGCAACAGACAAGGTAATCTCATCCTCGCAAAACTCCTAGATAGCCTTTTATCTTCTGGCTTTTCAAGCAAGCAGGTTTTCATAGGATTACATTGTAGAAAACATTGAATTGGATATTTTTGGGGTAAGCTCTTATTTCAAAAAAAAAGCATCATGTTAATCTTTACTTAAAATAATACTATTAGTTTAACTAACTTCTGATGATTAGAAAAAAATTATCATGGTTTAGGTACGTAGTGCTCTGGTATCCTTCTTCTGGGCAAGAGAAGATGACAAGAAAGAGGCAGCAGAACAAATGTTTGACTATCTGAAAATTAGCGAAGAGCAAGCTCTCGGCGACAAGAAGTTTTTTGGTGGCAACTCGATCAATATGGTGGACTTGATATTTGCCTTGTTTACCTGTTGGATTCAAACCATGCAACAGGTGGTGGGGATCAAGGTTTTGGAACCGAGTCGTTTACCACGCTTGCATGCATGGGTCAACAATTTCAAGGAAGAGCCCATCATCAAAGAAAATCTTCCTGACACTGAGAGAATGTTGGAGCATTATACGAGGATAAGGTCAAATCCTAATTAGTATCACAGGATGGTATCCTTACTAGCTGGTTGGGATATTGAACTTCTTCCAACATTACTAAATTTACCGATATGTCTATTGAAATTTCACTTAGAAAAATTACTCTATGTGGTTCTCAGAGTTGCTTTGTAAGAATAAAGTGTTTTGCACGTCTTCAGGTTGCAGAATTTAGAAGTCTTGGATTCAAATCTCCCTTCTTGTTCTCTACTTTTTAATCTTACCCTGCAAGAAAAAAAAATTACTCGAATTTATGTTTAAATTTTTATTTTAGGTGATTTTAGGGAACTAAAAAATATTTTTCTTCATTCTAAAGAGATGACAGTGGTTAGATTTTTACAAATTGGCACTAGATAATTTAGAAACACATATAAATTAAATCCATGTTAAATGGATTTTGCTAATATGTTAGCAAATACCTTTTTAATTATGCATGACAATCTTCACCGATCTTACTCATTCAATGGCATATTTTGTTCTCCATTTACTTTTATTTTCCAAATCAGAATTATGAGCGCAAATTACCATATAATAGATAAATGCAACAAGTAACGTAACATATTAAACAATAGATCCTATTGACCACAAACTCAAATTACTCACTGTCATTTGTTACAAATTAAGCATAACAATGTGGAAACAGTTTCAATAAGCTTCTCTTCTAATTAATAATCTCTTTTCAATATTTGTTAACTTGGATTTCTTTCAAGGCATATCTACCACTAATTATCTTCTGCAAATTTACAAAATTTTACATTCCCTTTCGGCTGATAACTAATTGCACCTTTTCTTAATCATCCTCTAATGCGTTCACTAACTACATGATAAATCAACTTAATTTCCTCTCAATTGCTTTAGAAATTCATCCCAATAGTTTTTACCAAAAGAAAAAAGAAAAAACTTCATCCCAACAACGCTCGGGCCAATTAAGTTGACATGCACTCCTACTGAACTTGACCAGTGAGTTCGGCACAGTTACTCCACTCCACGCATGGCAATCTCTACAGCCCCGCAGGCCAACCTTTCCGACGCCATCGACACTCCGACGTTACTATTGTCGTCGTCGAAGGAAATGTTGACTACAAAGGCCGCCCTGCCAACCGGTCCAAATCCGGCCGCTGGAAATCCGCAGCTTTCATCATAGGTGAAGTGACCATCATAAAGTATTAACATCCTCACCGTACTATGATAAAATGAAATACTGCAGGTTAATTATTTGTTTTAATGCAGGTATGGCGATGGCAGAGAGGTTTGCTCATCACGGAATAAGTTCGAATTTGATCAGTTACTTGACCGGGCCACTCGGCCAGTCCGCTGCTACAGCAGCGGAGAACGTGAATGCTTGGTCCGGTACAGCGTTGCTTTTGCCGCTCTTGGGTGCATTCGTCGCCGAGTCGTTTCTGGGTCGATATTGGACCGTCATAATCTCTTCATTGCTGTATATCATGGTTAGTTGAACTTGAACTTTCTACTGCTGTTTAACAGTAACTCCGTAGTTGTGCTTTGTGCTCTATCTTTGCAAGGCGCCTTCTTTACTTTTCTTTTATTTGGGATGCGATTTTTTAACTTTTAATGTGCTTGAAAAGATGCTCGAATTTACTATGCTGTATGTTTTGTCAATTGATATGTTATCACAGCTTCACAGCACCTGTCATATTGTGCCACAGCAAAGTTTTTCCAATTATAATCGTGGAGCTATAAACATTTCACGGTGGACAATTGTTCTCCGCAAATATTTAAAATCCTCTTTTGTAGTTTAAAATTATTACTAATTGTATCTTACTTTAATTATAGTTTAATAGTTTGTGCCCCTCAAACGACAAAACTTACGTATTGCATCCCCTCAAATAAAATAATTAGGGGTACTTGCTAAACTTTAAATTTATCAAAATCCATGTTATGGGATTTGCACTAGCCAATTTCTTGCTGCAAACTACGACCTACAGATTTAGCAGCAAAAGTGATGAGAAAAACCCATTCGTGGGAATTGGTTCTGGGGTTGTTAAAGCTGCTAGGAACTGGCGAAGTTGAGTTCCGAGTGAAGAGCAAATTTGGGAAACACTGTCTCATCAAGGTTCTCAACAATTCAAGTAAGCAGGCTAAAATGTCTGGTTATTACCTACCATATATGCAGTTGCAATGAGTACTTTTCACCTGATTATGTTATAGTTAATTTTCTCGATAAAGTTGTTTGATCTCATACAACAAGAACTCAGAAGGAGAACATCTGGAAGTTGAAACATAGAGGAAGACCCTCTAGCAATATGTCTATTTTGAGTTGTAGTCATACTTGACTTTTTTCTTGTTTCAAATTGACCTTTCTGCTGAAGCGTGGTGATTTTGTCTTGTTGAGAGAGAGAGAGAGAGAGAAATTTTCCTTAAATGTTCACTAAGGGAAGTAGTAATTTTCCTTAAATATCCTAGTGTTGAGATGCTCTTTGTCTGCAAAGTACTAAAATTTTCATTTGCACCGTCACTGAATCTGAGTTCTGGTATAGGTTTCTTAACAAAGCACTGCTTGCACACCTGATTGTTCCAAGGATGAGGGGGAAGTTTGCATGACAAGTGAGCTTGAAGATGCAAAAGCAATTTTCAGACTGATTCTGATATGGTTTACATGTTTGTCTTATGCTGTAATATTTGTTCAAGCATTCACCTCACCAAGAAAGGATTCAGATCACTTGGCTCAGGTTTTGAAGCACCGTCTGCTGCACTACAATCTTTCATCAACGTTTCAGTTGTCATCTTCATTCCTATCTATGACCGGGTTTTGGTCCTTGTTGCCAGAGTTATTACTGCGAAACCTTCGGGTATAGAAGCGCTTCAAGTCAAAGAATTGGGCTTGGCCTATTATTATCTGTGGTTTACATGGTGATTGCTGCTTTAGTTGAGAGGTAACGTCTTGAAACTGCTCTTGAATATGGGCTGGTTCATTTGCCAGATGCTACAGTTCCAATGAGCGTATTCTGGTTGACTCCTCAATATATGTTGTTTGGGATTGTAGAAGTATTTACAATGGTTGGTTTACGAGAGTTTTTCTATGATCAGGTTCCTGGTGACTTGAGAAGTATAGGTATGTCTCTATACCTCAGTATCTTTGGAGTAGGGAGTTTCCTAAGTAGTTTTCTAATCTGTGTCATTCAGAAAGCCACAAGTGGAGGGGATCAAGGCGGTTGGTTTGCAGACTTCTTGAATCGGGCACATTTGGATTACTCTTATTGGTTTCTTGCTGCACTTTGCATGTTAGCATTCACTGCCTGCATGTATTTTGCTCAATCCTTTGTCTATAGTTGAGGAACTCTCGCTGGCGTTTTCTAAAAGGGATACAAATTAGGAACACTGCAGGAAAAATTGGGAGTCAATCTCTCCAGCAGGATCAATGGTAAGTTACTTGTAGACAAAAAATCTGAGAGGTTGAATTGCTACAGTCAAAATTAAGTTGTCATCCCAAATGCAGTGCAGCTCGTTTGCAATTTCACGGAAGCATTTCTTGTTCTAAGGGTTCATTGATTTTCGCAATCTTTTATCAGTTGTTTGGGCTTCACAATGGAGAGGGCAAAGATGAGCTGCTAATTGCCCTTTGATTGCAGGATGGAGTTAGACTTTTGAGGGGTAGTTGAAACTGTGCTGAAATTTTTAATGCTCAATAACCAGCGAGTCTGATAGCGGTTAAAGAGCCCCAAAAGGGGCATTGTTTGAATTTCCTTCCTTTTCCTTGGTTTTGTTGGTCCGTGATTCGTCATTGAACCTTGTTTTGTCTTTTTGCAGCTCAATCTTACCATCTTTATTGACTCATTCACCTGTGGAAATCAATTTTGGCATTGCTAGTTGTGACAATTGAACAAACATGGCTTTACATGTCTGCCTCAAAGTACTGTTTGAATTGCCCCTCTAAGGAATCAAATCATCTTTACACATTGGTCTTTGGAACCTTCCAATGACTGTATAAACAAAGATTATCTTTTGGCTTTTTCGTTACCCTCATCTTTGTTGACTATGTTAGGCCGCCATTGCTGACTAAACTAGAAATATTGCAAGAAAAGCAATCATTTATTATAATATTAAAAACAACTTGACATTGAAATGCATTATTATTAGTCTATCACTGCTCCTATAAAGAAAAATTAAGCCTGGCACTCCATTCCCCTAGAAGATCAAATGGACAACGAAGTGAAGCTTCATGGATTTTGGCCAAGCCCCTTTGTTTATCGGGTGATATGGGCACTGAAATTGAAGGGCATCGAGTATGATTACATAGAAGAAGACCTGGCTAACAAGAGTGAGTTGCTGTTACGTTACAATCCAGTTTACGAGAAAGTTCCCGTGCTGGTTCATGCTGGAAAACCCATTTCTGAGTCCCTTGTAATCCTTGAATATATTGAAGAGGTGTGGCCCCATAACCCACTGCTGCCAAAAGATCCCTATGAGAGATCTGTAGCTCGGTTTTGGATAAATTTTGCAACGGACAAGGTAATCTCATCCTCGCAAAACTCCTAGATAGCCTTTTATCTTCTGGCTTTTCAAGCAAGCAGGTTTGAATAGGATTACATTGTAGAAAACATTGAATTGGATAGCTTTGGGGCAAGCTCTTATTTAAAAAAAAAAAGGATCATGTTAATCTTTTACTTAAAATAATATTAGCTTAACTAACTTCTGATGATTTGAAAAAATTATCATGATTTAGGGACGTAGTTCTGTTAGATCCCTCTTCTGGGGAGGAGGAGATGGCAAGAAAGAGGCAGCAGAACAAATGTTTGACCTTCTGAAAATTATTGAAGAGCAAGCTCTTGGGGACAAGAAGTTTTTTGGTGGCAACTCGATCAATATGGTGGACTTGATATTTGCCTGGTTTGCCTGTTGGATTCAACCCATGGAACAGTTGGTGGGGATCAAGGTTTTGGAACCAAGTCGTTTACCAAGCTTGCACGCATGGGTCAAGAATTTCAAGGAAGAGCCCATCATCAAAGAAAATCTTCCTGACCCTGAGAGATTGTTGGCGTATTATACGAGGCTGACGTCAAATCTTGTGTCAAAGCCTACTTAGTATCACAGGATGGTGGGGATATTGAACTTCTTCCAACATTACTAAATTTACCAATATGTCTATTGAAATTTCACTTAGAAAAATTACTCTGTGGGTTACTTTGTAAGAATAAAGTGTTTTGCACATTTCAAGGTCACAGAATTTAGAAGTTCTTACTCATTCAATGGCATATTTTGTTCTCCATTTACTTTTATTTTCCAAATCAGAATTATGAGCGCAAATTACCATATAATAGATAAATGCAACAAGTAACGTAACATATTAAACAATAGATCCTATTGACCACAAACTCAAATTATCCCGATTACTCACTTTCATTTGTTACAAATTAAGCATAACAATGTGGAAACAGTTTCAATAAGTTTCTCTTCTAATTAATAATCTCTTTTCAGTATTTGTTAACTTGGATTTTTTTCAAGGCATATCTACCACTAATTATCTTCTGCAAAATAACAAAATTTTGCATTCCTTTTCTGCTGATAACTAATTGTACCTTTTCTTAATCATCCTCTAATGCGTTCACTAACTACATGATAAATCAACTTAATTTCCTCTCAATTGCTTTAGAAAATTCATCCCAATAGTTTTTATCAAAAGAAAAAAGATAAAAAACTTCATCCCATCACTAACATTCAAAGGTAATCGAAATTCTGATACAAAGTACAATTTAAGGTGGAGTCTACAAATCAACATTATCCAGTTAATTGGTGACTAGAAATACGGGTGAGAACCTCAAACCAGAACCACTCCACAATCTTTGTGGGATGGATTCGGCCCAATTAAGTTGTCATGCATTAAGTTGCGATGCATTCCTACTGAACTTGACAAGTTGTCTAATCATTAGGCCTGTTAATTACCTTTTTCAGTCAAAGCTATTCCTTAATATTTTGTTTTCCATTTCTTCTACTTTAGGATCTGCAATATTGCAACTTGTACCGGTACCATTGTGCAATTGGGGCAGTGTCACCTCAAAATCTATGCCATCGATGTCATTGAGTTCCGTGTTCAATTACAAGTCCTCAATATATCAATCGACGTGACTTTTACCATCAAATGGCGGAAATCTCTTACCATTTTGTAGAATTTTCATTGATGTCAAGTGTTAGTTTGTTAAGGCTAACCATTATCCTGAGGAACAGCAATAGGATGCCACATGCTGTGAGTTTCACACTCACATACGCTTATCAAGACAGTTTTATTAATTTAGCAAATTTAGCTCCTTGATTATACTTAATTATTCATTTTTTCCAAACATGAGAAATTTTATTTGACACCTATTTCTACTTTACATTAAGAGGAAGTGATGGATCCAAGGGAGTCAATGAAGAATTCAGAGGGGATTGAACCTTTATCGTACCAAACGAATGTCTTTGCACCTGCTAGTGAAATCTTCAGAAAATCTTGGATAAGAATGCAGATCAAGAGATTCGATTCATTGACCTATATCCAAAGAGAGTTTTTCAAAGGGATCGATGGAGAATTCGGAAGAAACTAAACCGCTACCGGACCAAACGAGTATCTTTGTACCTACTTGTGAAATTTTCAGAAAATCCTTAACAAGAATGCAGGTCAAAAGATTTGACCAATTGACCTACACCTATGGACAGTCTTGAAACTCTTCTTGCTAGCCAACTACTCTTAAAGTAGTTGGATAAGAGTAGTTGGTTAATTATACTTAATTATTCAAAGATCTAGAATTTTTTTTTTTCCTCCACTAGATTCTACCTATCTGCTCCTTTTTGTTGCCTGACTCCCAGTTTCTCTTAATTAAGGAGAATGGAATTGGAGCAGAGTAGAGATGGGCAGGGCAAAGAATTATAGAGTTGGGAACATGTAAAATGTAAAAGAAAAGGGCAAAGAGAAGACAATGTGAAATAACCAAGACGATTGCTCCCGGACAAGCTACTAGTCCGGGCACCCAAATTAGAATGAGTGGCTAGAAATTGTCTGTAACTTCCGTGATGCTCCCAAACTAGAAATGCTGCCACCAAAATACTCCCTGTAATTTGTCAACTGTTCAATTTAACTCTCTCTGGTTTAAAAATCTGCGCTATAACTTTCTATGGTTTCAACTAAATTGAAAATTAGACAAAAAGCATTCAATCTAATGGTTGTATATGAAATTTCAATATTGCCCCTATCTAAATGAACTCACTGTGATTTGCCGAATGTTCAATTTAATTCCTTACGATTTGAAGATTTACACTATAGCTCCGGGTAGTTTTGACTAAATTGAAAATTGAACGGAAAGCATTTCATGTATTGTAGGGGCAATATTGACATTTCATGCACAATCATCAAATTGGATGTCTTCCGTCCAATTTTCAATTTAGTCGAAATCACAATGAACTATGTGTAGGTTTCCAAATCAGAAAGAATTAAATTGAACATTCAACAACCCACAAAGAGTTTTTTTTTTTTGGGTATTTTACCCTAAATTTTAGCGTTGCTCGTTACCATGTCTGAGTATCTTACCTACTCAATAAATATTTGGGAAAATTTCAAAAACTTCCCTTAAGGTTTCTAACAGTCTCACTGTCCTCTCCTAAGGTTTTCTAAATATCAAAGACTTCCCCTAAAAGTGAATAGGTAGTATCAAATCCAACCCAATTCAAAAAGAGAAACAATAAAAAATTGAGGTTTGGAGAGAGAACATGGCCTGATACCACAAATGCCCTCAAGTCTTGCATTAGTGAGATAATTTCATATGAACAATACTTGGACAATTTAACAAGAATGAAGGTTCAGGATTGTAAGTGGAACTAATGGCTCAAGGAAGGTTTGAACTTCAGTTTGACACGTGGAAACCAACGGTTGTTTCTGCTTGTCATTTTTAACATCTACGTGCAATGGCCATTTCGACAAACTATTTATAAGAGCAAAATGAAGCAGCAAGATAGGACTCTGTGTATCAGCCTCTATGCAATTAAAGTGCTTGGTGTTGGATGAGTTAAAAGTAATAGCAGCAAATGAAGTATGCAATTGTAGTAGCAACAAACACACACATAAATTGCCAGTTGAAGCAATAGAGGTGAATTTTGGAATTCACCTACATCATTTACAATTAGAAACAGGTATTGTTGATGTAATCGCCAAGCGAGAATTAAAATTTTTGAGAGTGAATGGAATCTACACAAGCGGTACTTTTGCTGCACAAATTATAGATTTTTTGAATAATATGAAGGTTCTGAAGAGGAAGATGTGAGTAACCAAAGAGAAGGAAGACATTTAGCAATGCAAAGGGAAGAATAGGTCCATATTGCACTTCTAAATTGTCGTCAACTACATTAATCATATTTATAATTAACTTAAGTAAATTTGTCCAAATAATTGCAAACTATTTGCTAAGTTATGTGGGTATTTGAGTCATTTCACTCATGATGATGTAAGAATTGAGACCCAATATTCTATTAGGGGAGGTCTCTGATATTTTTGAAATCTTAAGGGAAGGGAGTGAGACTGTTAGAAACCTCAAGGGAGGTTTCTCAAATAATCCCTAAATATTTTCAACCGTCAACAATAATAGCTTGCGCGTTTGAAACTAAACCCAAGTTCCCAAGTCTAGTGATCTTAGCTAGCTGAGCACGGTTGCTCTACTTCACATATGGGCCTCCACAGCCACAGAGGGCAACCTTTCCGACGCGATCGAAGCTCCAGCATTACCAGACGACGTCGCCCAAGCAAATGTTGACTACAAAGGCCTCCCTGTTAACCGATCCAAATCTGGCCGTTGGAAATCCGCTTATTTCATTACAGGTGAAGTGACCATCATAAAAGATTGAAATCCTAACCATAGTACAATAATATCAAAAACAAGTTAGTTATTTACTTTTGGATAAATTATCTTTTATCCCCTGTGATTTGGTGCTCTACTAGATAATCTTCCTATGAATTAAAAATCTTAGATAACTTCCTTAGGTCAAATATCATCATTAGTTTTTCCGTTAAAACTAGCGATTAATAGTAAAAAGTCAAAATCAAACTAATAAATTGACAAATTCACTCTTGTACTACTTTCTTTCTTTTTTTCTTTTTTCCTTTTCCTTCTTTCCCTCCCTTTCTCTGTTGTTATTATAAGAAAAAAGATGATTTTGAAAATCTATACTATGGCCTATAAATCTTAATTTTCTCCAAATGCCAAAAAGATGGAGAGGAAATAAGAAACAAAAAAGATGGAAGGGAAATATAAAATAAATAAATAAAAATAGAAAATTTTTTTGACTGCAAATATTACTATAGGTTTTTAAACCAAATCTTTAATGGTATTTTCTAGTTCTTAGTTATCTATTTTTTTAATTTCTTTTTTTTTTTATATTTGGAGGAAAAAAGAAGTAATGAAAGGATAAATTTGTCAATTTATTAATTTGATTTTGATTTTTTACTATTGACCATTAATTTTAACAAAAAACTAATGGTAATACATTAACCCAAACCATGAGAGGATTATATATAATTTTTAAATGTAGGAGGGTTAAAAATAAAAGATTAAAAATATTGATACTATTACAAAATAAAAGTGCTTTTGGGACAGAGAATGCTTTTATTGCTTCTGCAATTATGTTGGTTATGGCAAACCGAGTTTAGAAAAAAAAAATAGAAATATTAAATATCACATGTTTTTGTCTCAATTACATTTATTATTTCAAAACAATTGATTTTTAAATTTTTTTTTTTAAAAAAAATCTAAAAGCATCATGTTCACGTCCGAAGAACGTGATCCATCACTAGTATAAAAAAAAATTAAGAAAATTCTATAATTTCTTTAGAGAAACCATTCCCTCAACGATGATGATAGCAGTTTACATTTTAAATATTTGAAATTATTAAAATTCAAGGGTGTAAAACACTTATTTCATCGTTCAACGATGATTTTAATCTTACTGTATAACACCACAGCATCGGTGGAATCTCCTGTTATTATTTTGACAAGGAAAAAAAAAACAACAATCTCCTGTTATTAGTCCAACCAATAATTAGTGCCACTGCCACCAAAATACCGATAGATTTGACCGTTGTTCGTTAACGTGCAGGTGTATCTTAGCCTACTCAATAATAAACCCAGTCCGAGCCAACAATTAGAGCTTTGTCAGGATTTAACCTGATAATTTCTCAGAAGAAGAAATAATAAGAGGGAAATAGGAAGGGAAGAACATGAATTGAGAGAAAATG